GACTGGAATAACCTCCAAAGCTAGTGAGTGCAGAGGGTGAGTTCTACAGTTGCTTTTAAATACATTGTTTTCCTCCCTGTGCTTGATTTTGTTTGGGGGGCCTTCTCCTAATTTTCAAGCAAATAATCACATTCTTACCTAATGACCTGGAGAGTTTGCCACATTATTCTGGAAGCTCATAAACCATCTCCCCGGCTTTTCTTTTTGTAGCCTTTTCTCAATGCTAGCAATAACTAAATATTTTGTGTAAGTAATATCTTCCCTGAAATAGAATCAGAGTTAAATGAAAGGGAATAGCTACCAAAATAGGGAGAAGATGCTTTTTATTAATTTTGAAATAATTGCCTATATGTACAATTAGAGAGAGTAGGTTAGGCCAGGAACATACCAGTTGTTAATTAGGTCTAATTTCACATTTGGGGGAATAATACATTTGTCACAGTCAGAAGGTTCGAACTCGCCCTACTCTGGAGCAGCACCCTGCTCTGTAGATTTTCTCGGGCATTTTCTCCCCAGCCTCCTCCTGACTTGCATTTTTATTGTTTACCTGGATTCTCTGAATGTCACATCAGCTCCTATGGGGTTGGGGAGGAGAGAGCGAGCGTGCTTTGGGTATTTTTGTATTTCCCACACTAACTGAGCATTGCGTCTGTTGAATATATATGTGCTGCTGCACTTGGTAAAAAGTCTCAAAGCCATTGTGCTCACCCGATTTGTAGGTGACCAGGAGGAGCAGCTGACCAGTTGGATATCAGATTCATAATTTTAGCCATTCTCCCAAAGGCTGAAAGTCTTACAAACATAAATATCAACTATTAAGACCTAATTATGAAATTCAAAATAAAGAACGCGATAGGTTTGTTTAACTGCACATTACACTCAGCTGAAGAGAGGATTAGTGAGAGCCGGATGAAAACTGAGCAGAGATCAGCTAGAAGAGGTCAGGGAGTAAAAGTAAGGAAATGTAATTAAGGGGCTAAGAGGTGGCAGATCCGCTAGCTACGCCTCTCTGTGACAACGTAACCAAGACAAACAACGTAAATGGACAAGAGCTACCTCTGGCTCCTGGTTTCCAAGATTTCTAATCCATGACCACGTGCACCCTTTGTCCCTGTGATTGTTTGGTGTAGCAGATCCTCTCACTTTATGGCAGTCAGGAGGCAGAGTGCAATAAAGAAATGGTCAAGTCCCAGGATCACCTTCAAGGAAGCCCTAGTGACCTCACTTCCTCTGACTTGGCCTCACCTCTGAACGTTTCTACTGCATCCCCAGGGCACCGCCACCTGGCTGTCAAGTGAGCCCTGGGGAGGGGGGGGCCTTGATATAGGCCCAGCTATAACTGAGAGATAATTAGGAAGTTCCGAAATGGTAAGATATGAAGGATGAGGCAGAAATAATATTTAAACAGACACATATTGGTAATTGTCCAAAAATAAAAAAAAAAAATCAAACCAAGGACTCTAGAAAGAGATCAAATTCCAAGCAGAATGCACTACAGGCTCTCAAAGTCAAGGGCAAGTTCTAAAAGTAAGATATAGATTACCTCCAGAAGCAGAAATCATATTTTAATTGCTATTTATAGCGCGAGTCTTTTTTTTTTTTTTATAATTGACATCTTGACCTCACTTTAACATCTGAGGTTTTCCACTAAAGCTGGGAAGCAGGATTTGAAGGACTAGTCAGCACAAGCAGTGTATTCCATTTACCCTATACAACTCCGGGAAAGGGACCAAAACCAACGTATAGTGGGTCAAAATGAGACCTGCCTCCACCTAACACAAGGAAGAAATATCGATTAATTTGAGCTGTGAGAACCAGAAGTAAGTAGATTACCCTACATAAGAATGAATACGCTGATGTCAAAGACTTTGAATAAAAGACTGATACATTCAGTCACCGAGTTTTAGTTTCCTTTTTGACACAGGATCTTGTTATTCAGTTCAAGCCGGCCTTGAACTCAGGCTACCCCTGCCTCCAACTTTCACGTGCTGAGGAGAGTGTAGGTATGCACCACCATAGCTGCCTTCACACATCAAATATTGATGAAGTATCTGTGTTGAACATGTAGTATAGCTATTACTATATCCTACTATAGATAGTTAGAATATGATTGTTTAAAAAAAAAAAAGCTTAACACACAAACCAACAACAAACCCCCTCCTATGCAGAGCTTGTATTCCACTGCAGGGGGCAGACAATAAGCATGGCAAGTAAAGCATGTGCTGTGTTAGAAGACAGTAAGTAATGAGGAGGAAAATCTAGAACAGGTGAGAGTAGCCAGGAATGCTAAGGTGGGTTAGCCACTTCCAATGTGGCGGTCAGAATAGGTTTGCTCAGAGTCGCTTCCAACTCTGAGTCGGCCTTGTAATGGATTTCAAAAATAAACTTACAATTTTAGCTAATGAGATTCTTTTTTAAAAGATGAATTTGTTATTTATTTATTTATTTATTTATTTTATGAAATTCTCTTAATTCCAATTAAAAAAAAAAAAACAGTAAAAGCCGGGGTGACTTCCCGTCATGTTTATTTTTAGAAGCCGCTCCTCTTCACTCAGATTTTACAAACTTCTCCTAGGAGAAACATCTCTTTGAAAACTCCAGAAGGAATGCTGGCCCTCCCATTGGCATCTCAGAATCACGAGGTTAGAGCAGATAACTAGTTAAAAAAAAAAAAAAAAAAAAAGCTTATCAGAAACCCAAGTTGTCATGGGGAAGAGACACAGTGAATTTTCACCGACCATTCCAAAACTGGAGGGCAGACTTACTCTTCAGACTCAGGCTGCTATTTGAAAAAGGAAGTTAACAAACATCCAGCTTCTTTCCACCACCACACCCCCCCACCAGAAACCCCCTATCCCATTCCCCCTCCTCCTGCTTCGATGAGGGTGTGCCCCCACCCACCCACTCCTGCCTCTCCACCCTCGAATTCCCCTACACTGGGGCATCCTCTTCCACTGATGCCTGACAAGGCTATCCGCCACTACATGTACAGCTCCATGTGTTCCCAGGCTGGTGGTTTAGACCCTGGGAGCTCTGGTTGGTAGGTATTGTTGCTCTTCCCATGGGGCTGCAAACCCCTTGAGCTCCTTCAGTCTTCTCTCTAACTCCTCCACTGGGGACCCCATGATCAGTTCAGTGGTTAGCTGCGAGCATCTGCCTCTGGTAATGTCAGGCTCTGGCAGAGCCTCTCAGAAGACAGCTATATTCAGGCTCCTGTCAGCATGCACTTCCTGGTATCCGCAACAGTGCCTGCCTTTGGTGACTGCACATGGGATGGATCCCCAGGTGGAGCAGTTTCCAGTAGGCCCCATCCTCCAATCTCTGCTCCACACTTTGTCTCCTTATTTGCTCCCATGAGTATTTTGTTACTCCTTCTAAGAAGGACTGAAGCACTCTCACTTGGTCTTCCTTCTTCTTGAGCTTCGTGTGGTCTGCAAGTTGTATCTTGGATATTACGAGCTTTTGGGCTAATATCCAATTATCAGTGAGTGCATCCCATGTGTGTTCTTTTGTGACTGAGTTACCTCACTCAGGATGATATTTTCTAGTGCCATCTATTTGCCTAAGAATTTCATGAAGTCATTGTTTTTAATAGCTGAATAGTACTCCATTGTGTAAATGTACCACATTTTCTGTATCCATTCCTCTTTTGAAGGACATCTGGGTTCTTTCCAGCTTCTGGCTATTATAAATGAGGCTGCTATGAACATAGTAGAGCATATGTCCTTGTTATATGTTGGAGCATCTTCTGGGTATATGCCCAGGAGTGATACAGCTGGATCCTCAGGTAATGCTATGTCCAATTTTCTGAGTAACTGCCAGACTGAATTCCAGAGTGTTTGTACCAGCTTGCAATCCCACCAACAATGGAAGAGTGTTCCTCTTTCTCCACATCCTTGTCAGCATCTGCTATTACCTGAGTTTTTGATCTTAGCCATTCTGACTGGTGTGAGGTAGAATCTCAGAGTTGTTTTGATTTGCATTTCCCTGATGAGTAAGGATGTTGAACATTTCTTTAGGTGCTTCTCAACCATTTGAGTTTCTCAGTTGAGAATTCTTTGTTTAGCTCTGTACCCAATTTTAATCAGGTTATTTGATTACCTGGAGTCTAATTTCTTGAGTTCTTTTTATATATTTGATATTAGCCATCTATCGGATGTAGGATTGGTAAAGGATTGGTTACCATTTTGTCCCATTGACAGTGTCTTCTGCCTTACAGAAGCAGCTTTGCAATTTTATGAAGTCCCATTTGTCAATTCTTGATCTTAGAGCATAAACCATTGGTGTTCTGTTCAGGAACTTTTCCCCTGTGCCCATGTATTCCAGGCTCTTCCCCACTTTCTCTTCTATTAGTTTCAGTGTATCTGGTGTTATGTGGAGGTCCTTGATCCACTTGGACTTGAGCTTTGTACAAGGAGATAAGAATGGATCGATTTGCATTCTTCTACATGCTGACCTCCAGTTGAACCAGCACCATTTGTTGAAAATGCTGTCTTTTTTCCACTGGATGGTTTTAGCTCCTTTGTCAAAGATCAAGTGACCATAGATATGGGGGTTCATTTCTGGGTCTTCTATTCTATTCCATTGATCTTCCTGCCTGTCTCTGTACCAATACCATGCAGTTTTTATCACTATTTGCTCTGTAGTACAGCTTGAGGTCAGGGATGGTGGTTCCCCAGAAGTTCTTTTATTGTTGATAATAGTTTTCACTAACCTGGGTTTTTTGATATTCCAAATAAATTTGCAAATTGCTCTTTCTAACTCTATGAAAAATTGAGTTGGAATTTTGATGAGGACTACATTGAATCTGTAGATTGCTTTCAGCAAGATGGCCATTTTTACTATATTAATACTTGACAATAATCCATGAGCATGGGAGATCTAAAAAATTAAAATAAAGTGATGTTTGTCTCTGAAGTTGAATTCTGTGGTGCAGGCCATTTGAAGCAGACGGTTTTGACACATCCAAGACTCCTTTAACTTGTAGTCTTCTGTTGCAGGCAAACAAAAAATCCCTTTGGACAGTTAAACCCAGTGAGGGCACAGTTCCTGCAGAAGATGACATCCCACTGACGCTGACTGCTAACCTGGACGACATAGTGACGTTCAAAGACACTGTCATCCTGGAGATTAAGCACAGTAACACTTATCGGATCCCAATCCAGGCCACTGGGATTGGTTCTACCATTGTTTCCGACAAACCGTTTGCTCCAGAACTCAACTTGGGAGCGCATTTTAGGTAGGGAAATACCATGGGGCAGTCGTATAGGTAATTAAGTATGTCTCAGTCTTAATTAAATGGAGCTAAGCCCCCTCCATCCCTCTCCTAGCCCCCACCCCCACTCTTTCCTTCCTCGGTGAATGTACTGGATATGGGAAGACGTCTCCTAGTTACAGCTTGGCTACATCTGCTACAAGAAGACATTTCCATGCTGTCACACTGTGCTCTAGTTCCCTTTCTGTTACTGTGGTAAGACAACTTAGGGGAGGGTTTATTTCTTCTGGCAGTTCCCTGTCACTGTACATCATTTGAGAGAAGTCAGAACTCAAGTCAGAACATGGAGAAATGCTGCTTGCTGGCTCACGCTCAGACTCTTGCTTAACCAATTTCCTTAAACATCTCAAGAATACCTTACCCAGGGAATAGTAACACCCACAGTGGGCTGGACCTCTGAAATCCATTACTAATCAAGAGTAAATCCCCTGGACACATGCCCACAACATGACGAAAGCTATTATTTGAGCCTTTCCAACTTGGGCCAGGCAGAATGACTCCCACAAAGAAGGGTGGCAAGAAGAAGAAGGGCCATTCTGCCATCAACAAGGTGGTGACCCAAGAATACACCACCGACATTCACAAGCACATCCATGGAGTGGGCTTCAAGAAGCGTACTCCTCGGGCATTCAAAGAAATTCAGAAGTTTGCCATGAAGGAAATGGGGACTCCAGATGTGCACGCTGACGTCAGGCTCAATAAAGCCATCGGGTCCAAGGGAATAAGGAATGTTCCATATTGCATCCAAGTACATTTGTCCAGAAAACATGATGAGGATAAGGATTCACCAAACAAGCTCTACACATTGATAACTTACATGCCTGTTACCACATTCAAAAGTCTACAGTCAATGTGGATGAGAACTAACCTGCTGCATGTCAAATAAAGTTGCAGAACTGCTGGAAAAAAAAAAGGCTATTATTTGAGACTCTGATTTTGATTTTTTCGGATTTTGGTTTTTGGGGTTTGTTGTTTTTGTTTTTTTGTCTTTTGCTTTTTGTTTTTTTTTTTTTCTAAGATCCTAAGCTGTGTAAAGTTGACAGTTGATGCTAGGTGACATTCTCCAGGCTAGAAAAAGGGGGTAGTGACTACTTTATGTTAGATTCAGAGTTTCTACATAATCTTTCCTCTCTGATTTCAACATACCTCTCATCCCTCTCGACAAATGGAGAAAATACGGACTCAGTTTAGTGTAACCTTCGAGTCTACCTAGAAAGGTAAGACTTTGCAAAAGTGGCAGACATTGCAGAGCCAGTCATTTTAGACATTGTATTTCTTCTATTTGCCTCCCCATCATAGCACCAACGCTCCCCTGTGTTCCCAGGACAAGCTATAGGGTCTGACTATCTCAATAAGAGGCAGTGCAGCAGAGACGCCTATTGAGTATGTCTATGAAACACCTGAGGTTTGAGTGCAGTAGGTGGAGGGTATGTATAAGGATTTATTCCTGGTTCTGAAAGGGCGTTATGTAGTTATCAGTACTTGACTGCCAGGGTTTGGCTGGCTTGTGGTTCTCAGCTGCTGTATTGGGAACACACCCATGCTGTTGTTCTGACCTTTTGATGTACCCGTCCTGAACCCAACTTACAGATATTCTGTCCTGAGAAGTTCTTCCCACAGCCCCACCTACCCCTCCTTTCCTCTGCTTTAGCTATCAAACATGGCTCTTAATTGAAAAATGCACCAAGCAAGAGCAACGTAAGTAACAACCCAGGGAGTTGAGCTGTATGTTTTTTGCATGTGTCCAGTTGTACGTTTTTTGAGTCGGGTAAATATCAAAACTTTCCTTTCTACTTTATCTCTTGGCCACAAGGAAAGGAAGGTATTTGTCATTGTATAGTAATGATTCTACTTAAATTCCTTAAGAGGAAATCTAACTATAGAAAACAATATTCTTCACACCATGTCTAATTGCTTGGGATTCTTCTGAATCTATAAGTAGCACCAAATATCCCCTACCCAAAGGATATGCCAGCCCTTGCCTGGACATTTGAGGGCTAGCTAACAGTTTCTATGAATATACAAACAAGCTGTAGTTTTTATTTATTAATTTTCCCTCTGTCTAAACCCTGGTATTCTCCTTTTAACATATAATCATGATGCCAACAATAACCGAAAGGAATAGCGAAAGCCTTGACAGGTACACCATGGCCCACTGCCTGTTTCTGTGAAGAAGGTTCTGTTGGCTTGCAGCCAGTATGCCTCTGGCTATTTCCATACTAAGAAGAGTGTATAGAGGCAGATGATTATGCCTGAGATCATATGGCCCAAATATCTAACATGATAAATATAAATCAGCCCTTTACAGAGGAAGTTTGCCAAACCATGTATTACTAAAGGAATGGGCTATGCCACCCCTTTCTGGTCACAAATTTGGGAGCAAATCTCTTGAATATTTGGAGTTTTCCTCTCATCCTGGTATAGAAGTTAATATGGTTCTGGTAACTGGGTTTCTGTGGTTATTAAAATCATACTATAAATAAGTAGCAAAGGCCAAACTAGTCTATTAATATTATATATATATTTTCTCCCCAAAACTTACTATTGGTCATAAAGTTAAATTGTTGGGTAAAGATTGTTCTGTTGACTCTGCCCTGTGAACACAAATATTTTGAGACAAAAGTTTTTACCTGACAACTGAAATTACTTCTCCTGATTATTTATTTGATGTTACAACTTATTTGTGAGATATATCATTTCCTGGAGTCATGCAAATGGGATAAAATCTCAAAGCCTAATAAAATCTTAAAAGAAAAATAATCAGTTGAAGATAAAGTGGAGTGTTTGTTTTGTTGTTGCTGCTGTTGCTGTTTGTCAGAGAGGGTCTCACTGTGTAACCCTGGTTGACCTAAAACTCCCTTTGTAGACCAGGTTAACCTTGAATTTATGGTGATTCTCCTACTTCAGCCTTGCAAATGCTAATATTACAGGCATGCACTACCTTTCCTGTCCTTGGATGAGCTTTTTTCCTTAAAGAAAAATTTTTGATGAAGTCTATAAATTGGATGGATGCGCACACACACACACACATACACACCACTTTAACTTCTTTTATTATATATTAGCAATCCCAGCTCCCTCATAAAGAGCTAGGCAAATCAGAAAGTCTTTAATAAGTATTCATGAAATAAAGAAAGACTGAATTATTGAATGAAATAGTTGCAACTTGAAAGCTTAAAGAAACGAGAAAAAAAATTCTGAGAAAAGTGTCTCGCCTAGTTGGTGTTCTGGTCTACTTCAGTCTGGCCCCTCTGTCCTATCAAGGCTTAATAGGGATGTGTCAACCACGTTGAACTTCAAACTAAGCCCACCATCACCAGACATATCTCAGTCAAGAGAAATGTAGTCAACAAGTCTCAAAAGTGGATTTCTCTCCCAGCTAGTGTGCTTTTCTTTCCTTACCTCAGAACCGTTTTTCATTAAGGATAATGCTAATGCTGTCTGTGTATCCTACAGTGGGCTCTACCTGCTGGGGGAGACAAAGGATGTGTGGGTTCCTAGAAGTGATGATTCTGGGATTGGGAGCCCTTGAATCACACTCGGTTCTTAGTAATCTTATGACCTAGATTCCCAGAACGGCTGTTTTTGATTTTGTTTTAAAGGAATGTCTACTTTGAGTGCTCATTCTCTAAGTATTTCCAACAGAATAAATCTAAAGGGTGTAGAGTCAAACCCAACAGCCACTCAGCACCTGCCCTTCTCTTCCAGCCTGGATACCCACTATTATCGCTTCAAGCTGACCAACAAAGGACGCCGGGTCCAGCAACTGTTCTGGATGAATGATGACTTTCGCCCCAAGGAAAAGCAGAGTAAGAAGGAACCAGTGAAGAAGGGCTCTACTGGTAGCTACCGCCAGTCCAAGGCCGCCCAGGAACCCATCAATAATGAGAACCCCGTGTTTCAACTTCACCCTGTCAGGATGGAGTTGTACCCAGGGCAGACGATTGATGTGATACTTGAAGGCTATTCCACCACACCCAAGGTAAGAGGAGAGCATGTTCAAGAGCTGTTTTTCTCCCAGATAAGTCCCTCCTGTTACCCTATGTGTTTCTTAGGAAGGTCCCTTGGCAATCAAAGGATGGCAAGGGATGTGGTTTCTCAAAGACTACACACAGCACTGGTTACCATGGCAGCATTCATTGCTTTCAAGGCTCAACTCTGCTCAGTTTTCCCTTTGTTTCTATAGCTACCATAACCCAAACCTTAAAGGACTGTCTAAAGCATATCCTCATTGCAATAGTCAATACTAAGCAGCCAGCTAATCCCTGGTAGAAGAATGTCCAATTTTCATTCCAAGTAAATTTTCTTATTAACACCTAGCAGTCTTTTTTTTTTTTCCTGAAAAAATAGCATGCTTTTTTAGATGTTCTGGGTTGCACATCCCTGATTTCTTTTCTTTTCTTTTCTTTTCTTTTCTTTTCTTTTCTTT